AAATAAGGAAATACATCCAATTTCACGGCCCACCTTGGCTAGTTTCCCACTAAACTTCTGTTGAAATTTGCTTTTACCCTAAAAACGGTGGATCTTTGCGGGGGGGGGGTGCATATTTCTTTATATAAGGAGACCATACTGTTTACCATGAATGTGATGGTAAGTTAGCTTGAGGTCCTTAACAGCAACCCAGATGAAGAAAGAGGTCCAAGTCAGAATCCAGGCTGTGCAAAACTCACAGCGATGGTTTTAACCACGGGCCGCCAGCATGGGGCCTGAATGATGGGGCCATATTATGTACCGGTTTAAACCACCCGTCAAAACCAACCTCAAGCCTAATTTGGGACTTATAGTTGGGACTCAGAGACAGGTAGGGGGCTATACTGGAGGCCGATGGTTGGGACCTGGCAAGAGTTGGCGTTCTGAGGGTCTTAGGCCTGAAGGTTGGGTCGTGGGACGCTGCTGGATTTTAAGTCGTTGCGGTTTGCTGGCAGTCTGACGGTGCGTTTAGTTGTAGGGTCACGGGTACCCTGACCGCTGAATTCTCTTTTCCAGTCGAGCCAGCTCAGACCTTATTCCAGTTGCATTACTGACTACATTACCGCGAATTCTCTGGAACAAATGCAGAAAATGCGTCAGAGAGGTTTGCAACAAAACAGAAGAAGCCTTCGCCTCCCTTTTGCCAAACATGTCAATCATATTTGTTGAAGTTATGCATTGCTATTCGTCAGGATCTCCGGCATGACTTCACCACGAAGACCTTGCAGCTCACAGCAAAGGAGTCAGGTAACGTGCGCCTACGCTTTGAAGAGACACTACGCCGACATGCCCAAGCCTCGGAAGCCTCCGTAACTTGTCCGCGGCACACTTGTTCGGATAGCTGAGGCGAGATTGTTCTTTGAGGATGTCAGCATCACGGACTCCGAATCTGATATGGGCAAGCAAAGCTTGATGATCGATGCAAGCAATGCGCCTTGCCAGAGTCACACGGTGGACAGTCTTCGCAATGCCCATGCAAGCTTAGGTTTGTTCCGGTAGTAGATGGGAGATCGAGATGCCGGCAACCGATGCTGGAGCTCTTGGCTGGATTGCCAAAAGTTGCAACATTGAGCACTTCCTGACAGCCCGCCCTGCACCCAGCAGATGCTGCTGAGGAACGCCTTACCAGGTCACGATCACATACGGAGACAGTCGACGAGCAGTCGACACCTCGACGTGCACGCCACTTCTCCGAAGATCTCGGAGCCCAGAAGTTTAAAGGGCTGACAGCCATCGCGTGCCATCCAAGGATCGGGACAGAGGGGCGCATGAAGGATGCATCCCACCCAGACGGGACCATTGCCAAAAACACCTTTGTGACCGTGGCAAAGACCGTCGTCATCTACGGCAGCAGCGGTCTTCCAGCTCAAGTTTTGCAAGTCGCAAAAGTTGAGTCCCTCTCCCTTTGCCTTCTGCAGAGGCAAGGGGAAGCTGGCATTCTCGGGGGAGCTTTCAGCGGGCTGCTCGGGAGTCAATAAGCCGCGAAGCTGCATTGCCCTTTTGGTTTGCAATTGAAGTGACGTTTGGGGGGCTTTCAAAACCTCAGGATCAGCATCTCCAAGCAGGACTCCGTGTTTTGGTCCGCGTGTGGCGCTGCTTTCAGCAAGGCCTGGAGCCTTGAGTCCTCCAGGCTGGGCAGCAGCAGAAAGGCAATGTAAAAGGCAGCCGCATGCGTGTGGTTTGAGACACCGTGAGACGGCTGAGGCAGGCCCCGGGGAACGTCCAGCTCGTCTACCGCAATCGACAAGCCGCCGCGTGCGTGGATCCGATGACTGGCAACATGGAGGACTGCGCGTTGGAGACAGATGTTGACGCCTGACGCGCATGGAAGCATGCTAATAGGTTCATATTATCTTGCTGCTGGAACTGCAAGCTTGACGTGTGCAACAGAGATGAGGGCACGGTTGTTTTTGCTCCAAGGGGTATCCTTGAAATTAGCCCCGAACCTATGAGCTCCCGCAGCGGAAGCTGCGCAGGGCAGAAGTTGGGACACACAGCTTCCTAGCCGCTGCTCAACCCTTAATGGCGAAAGTGCAGCAAAAGTGCTTGAGTTCGGGCATCTGCTTCTGTTAAGGAATCGCACACGAAACAAGTCTTCTCCTTGAACTACTTGGCGCCCCTTGCAGCGCGGTGGACCCACATGGCCTCCGGACAGAACCTGCCTTTTGGCTTGTAACTCAATGACGCGAATTGAAAAGCTTAATGTTCTGCCGTGGCTGACTCCAAGGCAGCCTGGAGCCTGTGTGCGAGCTCAAGACAGGCCAGGGGACGAGGGGCTACGAGGGGCTTCGGCAGACACCTTGCGATATATTGCAACTTTGGGTTAGCAGGTACCTGCCGCAGCTCAAAGTCGGCCAGCCCCTGGTGTCCTGCGCAAACGGCCAGGCTGGGCAGGCTGGTTTTGCTGGGCCTTGGCCACGCGGCGAAAGCTTTGCTTGGAGGTGCTCAGCTCCTTCTCCTTCCGCCAAGATAGCTCCTGCAACGGTGCAGACTACTTCCGCTTCCCGGCGACCGCTTCTGCGGTTCGAAGCGCGCCATGGGCTGAGCGGAGCATCCCAAAGCCTTTAAAGTCAGGCTACTTCTACAGCTGCACCACCATCGTCCCCGTGAAGGGTGCCTCGATGTGCACCCCGCACCTTGGCCTTTGGCACCATACGCCTGCGCTGGCAGCGCTGGTGTGGCATGTCTTGCATCTCATGCATCCGGAGGAAGACCACACGCTGCGTTGCCCACACAAGCAATTCTCCACACCTCTGGGAGCTGGACAGGCCGCTACCACAGGCAATACAAAGTCACCAAAGAAAGGCTGCTGATTCCTGTACCTGAGGCATGATGTGGGATCACAATGTGAAGCTGGAACCTTGCTCACGAAGTTCGAGTATAAGAGCTGCAATGGAGACGATGGTGTCTCGATTGATGTGACGCCTTCATTTCAAGGTTAACAGGTTAACAAGTAGGAAGGTGTCATTGAGCAACTTTGCCCTAGGCTGTAGCACTGAGACCCCGTCGCAGGCGCTGGTTATCATTATGCATACACTTGCTGTCCAGTGCAAGGCGCTGGACCCAGTGTGTAGGTCTGCGTCCCTCAGCTATGGGAGAAGCGCAATGCTGAGGTTTGGGCGAATGCTCCGAAGAAACAACAGAGTGGGGGGAGGCCGATTATTGCGTTTTCTACTTGAGAGCTTCAGAGGATGGCTGTTTACTTTTTGGCAGGCATCTCTCGGAAGATGTAGAGAGATGGCTTGAGGATGTTCAGCACGCGCGCGTGTCAGGTTGGCCAGAGAAGCGACCTGGCAGCCTTGGCGCACCACCGACCTCAGTGCCCTCAAGACCTTTGGATTGGAGATATTGGATGACTGGCTGAGGATTCTTCTTCTTCTGCTTGTGCTCGTTTCCTTGGGGTGCGAGGACAGCGGCTTGCAGCGCTTCCTCCTTGAGTCCAAAGTTCCGGAGGTTGCTCAAGGTGCTCCTCTCCAAGGAGAGGTCAGGTGCCGGGTCTGCACATCAGGAAGGCAAGGGCTAGGGGTTGCGATCAGAGTCGAAATGTGGTACTGTAGGAATTATGGCCAAGGAATTCCTGTGTAAACTCCGTGTCTGTTTCATTTCCTCCAGTGCCTCCAGTGCAAGCAGACCCCTGTTCTGAGGTACACCTTTGTCTGCTGCATGCTGCCGATGGCACCGCCTGTTAGTGTCAAGACGGGGCCACTGGATGATGGCCATGCATGGGAAGGCACACCAGAGTATACCAGAGTGGAGTTGGACCCTGCGCAGCGTAAAGTCGTTCGATGTTGCTCAGGCACATATTGTCCAGCAGGACGTAGCGAAGGTCGGGCCACCCTTATGCGAGGAAAGGCGTCAGCGCCGTATTTCTTCAAGAGAGCCTTGACGAGAACTTGCAGATTGCAAGTGCTGCAAGTGCTGGAAAAGCCCAGGAGAGGGCGTTTCATGTGGCTACCACAAGGACAAGCTGGCCAAGATTGTGGACGGCGGGGCCTACTTGCCCAGCACCAGGTCGGCAAGGCTCCCAAAACCAGCAGATAGCATCAATGTTGTGTTCAGGGCGAGTGCCCTTGGCACCTGCGGCCCAGTCTGCGCAGCGGCGCCGAGCTGCGATGGCTTCATTTGGACAGCCCTGTCTTCGGTACTGACGTCAATGCTCACAGACTGACAGAGCAGTATGCGTGATGCGTGACGTATGCGAGACAAGTTCCTTGGGTCTCTGCTCTTTGAATCTTCGTGCAGGATCGATGGGATTTGCGGCTTCCGCTTGGACACATCATACAATGTCATTGGGATTGCAAAGCAGCGTCCACCTGTCTCAAATTTAACACTTCTCATCCGGCCGCTAAATTGGTTTCCTCCAGGCGGGCTCCAACGCTGGGGCCGACTGCTACACCAAGGTGCCAGAGTCGCAAGCGTCGTGGCTGCTATGGGACATAGCATCACCTAAAGATCGCTGAGATCACATCGATCATTTGGAGATGAGTGATCTGAGCTGTTCATGTCACGGCCTGCTTCGACGATCCATCATCAAGCTTTGAGTTTACATGGATTCATGCATGCGCGCACACAAACAGGCAGCTCCTACTTTGAATGCTCGGAATGCCCTGTATTCAGGAGATGAAGATCAAGTTTGACCGTCTTGCTGGCCATTGGTGCATGATTTCTCACGTCCAGAATCAACTTTGCTCCTCAGCAAGATGCGAAGCCCTCACTGGAGTTGTGAAGAGAAGAAGAATCAAGGTACCACTGCGGATGTATCGCATCCACTTCAGCTACCTCCAGGTGGCGAAGGTCGTGTCGACTACTCCCCAGCCTCTGTGCTGAATGTGCTTTTTCCCGCACAACATGCTGTGGGAGCCCCAAAAAGGTACCCTTGATTTTGTGTTGCCAGTCAGCACTGAGGTTTTGCCAATGGACACTGAGTTTGAGGGCAATGGTGCCGTGGAAGTGGCGCACGACTCAATGGCTCAGAGCCTCCTAGGACGGTAGCTCAAAGGTTATGTTGACATGCTAACGACGGCATCGCGTGGAAATACGCAGTTGCACCAAGCATTGTCGCCTTTTTTCGCTCGACATCTTGCGTTCGTCGGCAAGGGTCCAACCGAAGATGCTACTGCAGGTGGCGTCGAAGTAGATGCCTCCAAACGACGCCACTGCTTCCTACTGCTTCCTACTGTCGCTACTGTGAGCCCTTAGGAGCCCTTAGCCAGCTTGGCGTGCTTTGGCAGGAACTTCCAATTCGGCGATGAGCCAAGCTGGGACCAACGGCGGGTTGGGAAACAAGAAGTTCAAGCGATTCGCCTCAAGCATGATGAGTTTGAACTATGGTGGGCATAGTGTCAGATGTTTCGCACATGTTGTGCCAAGGAAGTTGCCAAAGATTCCAGCAGCCAAATTCAACATGGCAAAGCTCCAGTTGCTGCATTAGATTGGGATGTGATGCATGTGGTATGCCTCTTGTACCTCCTCTCATCATTCAATCGCCCTCCAAGAAGCAAACAGGCATCAGCAAACCGGCATGGGCGCCACAGAAGCGTCTCTTTCGACACACATGAATTTGAATTTGTTCTGCTTTCCCACCGAGGTTCGAGATGGCGGAGTTCAAGCCTTTTGAAGGTGAGCGCCAAGAGCTTCAACAGCGTGGTGTGACGGAGGCGGCTGCTTGGCTTTGCTCGAATTGCCTGCCCTCAGCCCTTTCAGCAGGCGTCATCTCAATTACGTTAGAATTGCAGTTTCTGGACGACTCGATGTTCAAGCAGTGAGCCCAAGGTGTTGAATTGGAACCCGGAGCCCGTAGAGCCTCTCGGGCGGTATTTGCGCGACCACAAATCGCCACAAGTAAGCTAACTTCTCATCTGAGGTATGCTCCTCACTGCTTGGCCCGAGAGAGCCGTGAGATGATCACGGGTGCTGAGCCTGTCGGCCCGGGAGACCACTACCTCACGGTGGAGGTCACGTGCCAAGCAACGGATGCCTGTGTTCTTCGTGAAAGGTAGTCTGAAGAGTCTATCCCAGCCTTCGACCACGAGTCCGCCCGACGGTATTCTTGGAACCCGCAGGTCGTAAACGCGCTAATTTCGCAATTTGGCCGGCCAGGGCCTGCATGGGATGCAGACCGCATTTTGTGGGCGCGCGGAAGGGACAATATGAGAGTCCAAGAATATCATCCATGTGCCAGAGCATCCCTGCCCAAATGTCTTCTTTCGTTTCGTTGGAAGCGCCAAGCCATAGGCAGATTGATGGCTGTATAGTAGTGGAAGAGCTGGCAAAGTGCAGAGGCGACCCACCCCGTGAGGGCAGTCGGCTACGGACCCCGACATTGTCAACACAAGTATGGACAGACCCAGTCAGGTATGGACAGCGCTTGGCTGAAACTCTGAGAAAAAACGCCTTTTGACAACTTGTTTGCACGCGAAACCACAGCCCCAGCTCATGTTGTCCTTTTTTTTTAATTGCTGCTCTGGCATCTCGAACATTTCCATGTTTGATGATCCCGGAACTGCCACGCTTTAATGTTGTGCACCATGCAGTGCTCTTTGGCGCGCGTTTTAAATCTTGGGCTTTGTCCTTGCTGGCGTCATGAGACTCATGCTATATTCGTCTAAGGAGAGGCAAAAGGACGTCGTTGGTGCATGTTACCATGCCCTCGGTGCAGATGCCAGCGGGGCAGCAGCTGTGGAGACATGGGGCGAAGAGGGCACTCCAGGCTGCAGAAACACAGAGCCTTCATGCTTTGGTCATCAGAGTTCCTGTGGTGCCCCATGCTAGGGAAGAAGAACACAGATTGGCAAGAACCCTACTTTGCCGCCAATCCTACTTTCCCCGGTCTCACAGCCGACGCGGTCTGGGACTGCAGCACTCGCGACATCAATCGTGGATACAAGCTGGCAATGTGGGACTCAGGGGGGGGCGCTTTGGGTTGCTTTTAGGAGCTCTTATTGCATACCGCATGTCGCAGTGTGCACAGCAGGACCGTGAAGCCGATTTTGCAAGCAGCACCATCGAGGCTGGGGCGATCTCTAGTATGCGGCAGGTTCAGACGCACTCGCCAACTGCTGTGCTGCATTTTCACTTGCCTCCTTCAGGACTTTTCCGAGCCAGTTGTGACAGAAGCCTGCAAGAATATTCCTGGGACAGTTGCGCTGGCTGGTGCTATTGCTGCTTATGCAGGAACAGATATGGATACCGGAGACACGATTGCACGTGGCAGGCGTAGGTTTTGTTTGTTAGCAGCCAACAAGACGCTTGTGAGAAACCTAAGTTTACTCCGGGCGAGAACAGATTAATTTTGTGACATGATGAACCTGACCATCTCTGCCAGATGACAACCAGGAGACATGTGTGCGGCCGTCGCCAGTGCGGTATCTGCAGGCTCCCTGTTCGCCATTGCCCAGACGCAGTATTACAGGGCGCTGAGGTACGACGAAAGCGACTTCCAAGATTGCAATCCTTTGCAGAACACAATGGCCAAGGTTTACTGCGACCTGTCATGCGTTGAGGACGCAGTCAAGCGAGGTGACCAGAAAATCCTGACGTCTATTGGCACGTTGAACAGAAACATCCTTTCAGAGATGAAAGAGTTCTTCCACCACTATGTCACCGAAATCTTCGGTCGGTTGACACACATGGAAGACAAGTCCAGCCATGAGAGTCAACAGCTGAAGCGGGTCATGGACACTTACGCTCAGTCAGATCTGGACGCAGCAACTTAGTGCAAACCAGCATTTGCCGTAGCCAAGTAGTGTTTGTGTGAGCGCCTTCCTGACTTTAGGTGAATTCGAACGGAAAGCAGATCATCAAAGCAATGAACTCGCAGCACACCGCACTTAACAAGAATCTTGGCATTGCTGCCAAGCAGATCTTTGACCTCACGCACGAGGACTGTTGAGCGCAAACGGCAGCTGCGTCTCGAGCGCAAAGTTGCTTTACTCTCTTTCCGGTCTACTCATCTTTGCAGGAGCACAAAGTCATTGCCGCGAAGATGGAGCTCTGCACAACTCTAACGTGTTGTGAGTGTAGACATGCCCTGCGCGCACACATACATTAACACATAAAGACATGTAAAAACATGCTTCACACACAAATGTCTCCTCCTCCTCCTCGTCCTCCTCCTCTTGCTCTCTCTCTCTCTCTCTCTCTCTGTATCTCCCTCTGCAGCCTAGTGGACGCACGTTACAAGTTCACAGACCGACAGGCGTGCACAGGTGCTGCGGCCCTGCGCCTTCAGCTGGGCAACAATGGGTAGCTAATTCAGCTTTGCATCTAAGGATGCACATCTGGCTGCGACTTCTGATGCCATTGATAACTTGACGCTGGACTGAAAAGTGGTCCACGCCTGTTTCGATCCCTGCAGAGACGGAAAGGAATTAGGATATATCAGGATGCTTGCCCAAAGGCCCAGAGGAGTCGCAGATAAAATGCAAATCGAGCGCATGAGGTGAGCGGCTGAGCAGATACTGTTTGAAGCTCTCAGCCCTGGGCAGAGGTCTGCTTCGGGCTGAGAAGGCAAGCTAGCCGCAGCATGCTGCAGCTAGCATAAGCCCGTTCTCAGCACTGGTCATTATGCATAATATATATATATATGTATATCTGTGAAGTAGAACAACACGAGCTGTTGGTTGGCAGCTGGAGCATCTTATCAGTGCTGTCTGTAAGCTAAGGAAAGAGTCAACGGTGCAAGGCTTCCATGATGCCTTCAGCGAGTTCACCGAAGCCCTAGCACCGGAAGACACTGGACTGAGTTAGAGCCCTGCGCCAAACATCACACACAGCCAGAACAGTCTGCAAAGACTGAGGAGGGTGCAGGCCTCACGCAGTTGAGAGAAACCCACACGGCCGCCAAGCGAGCTTTGGAAGAGAAACCTTTCTCGGCATTCAGCAGAGTTCGTGGCTGCCCTTTTCGTTTTTGTGCTTCAGAATTCTCTGCCTTCTTTTTAGCAGGTGTTATATCTATTGGATTCGGTTGCTGCTGAAGGATATCAACTTGGCATCTGGACGGGTCGATGCACCGCCTCGGCTCTGCCAAGCTGGAGACTGCTATCACAGAAGCCACAGAACAGCGTTGCCCTCGTTGGCCTTGCTGTCTTAGTGCGACCTTGATCTATCTACCCACTGAACGTACCTAGCTATCTCCCCAACCACCTATCTACCTGCCCATCTTTCTAGGCATCCATCGATCCATCCATGCAGTCAAAGAATCACCTGCCTACCCACGCACCGATCTGTTCCGCGCAGACGCAGGAGCAAGTTGAGCAGGCCCTGCTTGCCCTGCGCAAACAGCTTGCAAACGCCTCTTGCTTGCAAGGATGCTGTAGGACATCATAAGACAGAAACGCATTGCCTTGTGCTCATGTCATTGTGCGCCGGCAGCATCAAGCATAAGTTCAGCGATGTCGCGGGTGGTGTGTTGTGGCTACTCACGTGCAGCCGTGCTTTTCGCAAGCACATGCAGCCCTGGTTTTCAGCATGATTCAGCATGAAGGCTCGTGCACGGCAAGCTGGAGGGGAAGCATCGCCCAACGCCACACAGCGGACGCTTGCAAAGCAAAGCTGTGCTTTACGCCTTCACCCCCTCAATCCCTCAATCGGTGGCGGGATTGGCGCCCTCAGGTCCAAGTGGCTCCAGGACGGAACGACGCTTCACCGCGACACGATGGCCGTTGCCAGATCGCTGCTGGGCCTGAAGGCCAGATTGCCGTCTGTGTCTTTCTGTAGTGGGACTGAAATGTGTGTCGTATGCGTCGCAGGGTCCGCAGGGACCGCAGGCGAACCTGCCTGAAGCGCCTGCTCTCATCGACTCGGAGATGAAGAAGCTGCTCAAGGCGGCGCAGAGCTCGTGGCTTGGCGGTGATTCTGAGTGCTAATGTTCTTTAAAGCGGAGAGCTCGTTTACCACAACGAAGAGGCTTTTTCGTTCTGCGAGGATCCAAAGCCACCGCTCTTCTGCGAAAGCGATGAAGCGGCACGTCGCCTTCCTGAGGAAGACGGGCGAGTCGGAGGCTGAGGCCGTGAAGCTTCACACGGAATCTTTGGTGGAGTTCGACAAGAGCCTCGGAGCAAAAAGCAGACCCCCTCTCTAAGCTTCAGTAGCAAAAAGGAGATCAGCGTATCCTGGCCACCTCACTTTTAGTTCTGAGGATCCTCCTCAAGATCCGACAAAGCGCTGAGGAGTACTTGGAAGCAGCAGCGGAGACGCTAAAAGGCAAAAAGAGCACACTTTTCAGTTTCCTTCTCTTGTCTTCTCTGATTGACGAAACGCCTGAAACACACCATGCCTTGAGGCAAGTGGGCCATGTGAGCACGGCGACAGAGCTCACTGAAGGCTATTTGTCCCACTGCAGTGCTGCTCCTTGGCCTCTAGGCTCTAGGCACCTCCACGATCTCTTTGCTGTACAAGTCTGCCTGTCGCAATTGGGAGAGTCTCCTTTGGCGGCTTAGGATCTCTTGGAGGTGCAGGTTGCCGCAAAGCGTGCCATGCATTCGGGCCAGCGAGCAGCGAAAACGGCGCGCAGAGCACTGTATTTCGACTGCAAGAGTCGCCATGGCAAGTAGGCAGCAGTGCAACCTCCAACTTGACATGTTGAAGCTGTGCAAAGCCTGAGGAAGGAGGTTACCCAGCAGGTTGGGCTTCTGGCAGAAGTGATGGTCGACGGTGGTCTGGCCTTGAGCTCAGCTGTCGGTGGCCTTAGGGCAGCTGTCGGTGCTTCGTGTGCCCAGAATGCTTCTGGGCAATTAAGTCTCGGCTCCTGCGCCATCTTGGAGTTATCAGTTGTCAGGCGAAGCTGTAGAAACGGGAGTGGGGGAGGGGTTGGTGATACCATCCGGCCCCATTTCAGTTTCAGTCGCACGGCAGTGTTGGGGCAACATTTGGCTTCATTGTCGTTCGCAGCGCTCTATCTAGGCGCATTTCCATCGGCACTTACGTTTTGCTTTTCCTATGGTTTCCAAACGTCTCCGAACCCCCCGCGGGGCCAGCATCAGCGTCAAGCACTTTCCGTAGATGACCAGCCGGTTCCCATTCATGTGCTGGCTCCCATTGCTGCACAAGAGCAGAACAACGCAAAGTGCGCAAAAGGGCTTGCGCTGTTTGCCGCATGCTTCCGCAGCCTGCTGACCACAGGTGATCGTTTACTTCAGTGCTGACGTCGAAAGCAATTAGCAAGCAACAGTAGGCAAAGCAGAGTAGAGTCTGGACAGCAACGATTGAATGTGCCGTGAGTTCGAAAAAGATTTGGGCAATTTCCAGTCCTCGATTTTACCGCGCCCAGTGCTTCAGGTCCGCTCTGCGCTGCAAGCAGCCGCGTCAGCGGCAGTGGAGGCAGCGGAGTCCGAGGCAACTCAGATGGCCGAGCCCGGCTTGGAAAGCTTGGATGGAGTGCCCTGCCTATGAGGTAACTGGGGTTGCGAACCCCACTTAGAAGGGACCTGGTGGCAACATGTTGGCAACACTTGACAACACCGTTCATGGCCCGTTTGGTGTTAAAGGGTGGGCGAGAGTCAGCTTTGGGTTGTTTGTCGCTGCACTTCAAGAGCCATGCTAGCCAGTCCAAAAAAAAAGAGCGAATATCGCGCAAGTTCTGCAGTTGAAGCAAAAAACTTGACGTGGTTCGGCCTGCGAAGACGACACATGCGGATAGGGCACGTTGCGCAGAAAGCGGTGCTGCCCTAGCCCGTAAGAATCCCAGGGTCCTCACCTCCACTCCGCAAACTTGAGGCACTGCACAAACAACTTTCTTGAGTATAGCACCATATTGCGTACCATGCCTGACACGCAGTCGTTTTTGTCATCTTCTATGAGTGAACACCAGCAGAATCTTTGAACGGTTCGAGGCTTTCGGTGAAGATGTCTCAGGGCTTAAGGCTTAAGGTTCAGAGTAAGTTTATGGACAGACATGGTTTTAGATCAATATCATCATGATTTTTGTTTGTGCTGCATTCCAAGCACGAGCAAGCACGACTTCTCACGTGCCGACATGGATAAATCTCACGCCGCCATCTAAGGTGACCGACATCCGTGTGCGGCCTGCGAATGAATCCAAGATCATTCTCCAGCAGCTCCATGCCTTTATCTCTCGGACCGCACGCGCGGGCACGGGGCAGGCGTCTACGCTGCTCCAGATGCCCAAGCTATTCCACACCCTGCACAGAAGCATCTTGAGACAGCTGGCAGAATGGATGCCACCAGTTCTGCCAAAAGCCCAGGCACCTTGCTGAGGGTTTGGGATCTGCATTTGACGAGATGCGTTCTGACCACTTCATTTATTGATTGCCCTTTCTTGACGAGGCAGCCTTCAAACTGGCGCTTCACCTGCGTCATCGCCACGACATGCATGGCTTGGCGCGCAGCGGTGGTGAAGATGCGCGGCTCATGCAATCAGCCTGGCAACGTCTCTATGCTGAACTTCTAGAACCTTGCCCGACTTCAGTGGAACGACTTGCCCACTCTTTTCCAGGCTTCTTGCTTGTAGTGTCTTGTGCTGAGGAGATGGCTGGAGAAAGCCGCGTGCGTCATACTGCGCTGGGTGCATTGTTTGCCCAGCAGTTGGATGCAGTCTTGGCTTCAGCAGCACCAGTACCACCAAACTGCAGTCGGACTGGTCAGGACATTGGGTATGCAACAAGCCGCTCGAGTGAGGAAGTTGTAAGAACAGAGAAGCTTCTATGTTGGGATGCATCAAGACCGTGCATCCTGCCATATCTCACATACAATTAGAAATGAGCTTGTTGTTTTAGAGGAGGGCACAGGTACCACGAGCAGATTCTAGCCGGCACTGCGTGACGAGAGCTTGAGGACAACAAACTCACATTTTCCTGTTGAGGAGGGCTGGATGCTGTGGGCTGCCATGCCTTCGGACCCGACCGTGTCTTGGCTTTCAGTTGACTCCGCCACCAAGGAAGCCTCAAGATTCGTTCAAAAACAAAAGTCCTCAGCTTCGGAGCACAGCCAGAACCAATCACAGATTTCTGGCAGACGCACAAGTTTTGGTGCGGCGGGCTTGCCCAAACTTAGGGAGCATTGTTCTGAAACCATGCAAGGCTGTCAAATGAGGAAAAAATGGTTGCACGACAGTTTAGAATGGAAGCTCTTCGACTCATTTAATCGAAGTCTCGCTTGCATCGCCTCTGAATTTGAGGCCTACATCATTGTCAAGGGTGCAGCCAATCTCGTTCAGCATGCCCGAGGCCACACACACTGTGCGGTTTTGTCTCCGGTTGCAGCAGGCATGAATAAGCTCGCAGACGTCATAAATCTGACTTTGCAGTACTGTCAGAAGCAGTAGCCTCCAAGAATGCACGTCAAAAGCTTCTGATATGTCTGGCACTGTTATTGTAATTGTGCTCAGATGTGTGGGTCTGTGTGAAAATGAGAACAATGTCAGTTTACGCTGTAACAAGGTGCTTCAATCTTGCGCAGTCTCCGCTGCGTGAGAAGCGTTTGCCCAAGCGTGAGACGTGAGAGGACGACATCACCGGAGGTTGGACTTTGCCGCCATCTCCAAGAGCTCCCAGGATACAGGCCAAAGTGTGAGAAGCGTCGGATCAGGTAACCTTTTTCCTACATGGCACTTGGGTTTGTATAATGCGATCAATGTGGGTTTTAGTGAGCGCAATTAAACAGAGCATGACAGAACGATAAGATTCTGAAGGGGAAGTCACGAAAGCTCCCCGTGCGGGAGCTTCGTTTAGTACCCCATGAAGTGAGCCTGGGATCCCGGGGGAGGGGTCTGGGGAGGGGGGGGGGGCTGCCAATTTTGGCAGGTTTGCAGCAGCTTGCATGCTGGGCGGTTTTGGGGGGATCTTGGGGGGGATTTGGGGGGGCTGTTAGGGGGATCTTGGGTGGATCTTGGGTGGATCTTGGGGTGCCTTGGGGGGATCTTGGAGATTTTTTTTTACAGGAGAAGTTCGGTAGGAGGGTTGCAGTTCTTTTACAGAAAGGCACGCTCTTGTGGCCCCAGTTTTGTGGTAGTGGTAAAATACTATGAAATAACATGTATAATTGCTACACATATAATATCATGCTGCTATTGGCGGGGAAGGTGTAAATCTTTCATATGACTTCTTTAGTTTAGAAATCTAAATAATATGAACAAGAAACGCCATTAGCATTCTAATCGTTTACGAGTTGGTATAGGTTAAATGGTAGAAA